AAAAAAAATCTCCCAACTTAATGAGTTTAGTCGGAGGCTGGAGCAAACGGCTGAGCCTCAGCAGAAAACTGCCAACAACTCTAGGCGATATTGCAAAATAAGACGACCCGGGGCACAGCCAAATTCCAGTGTTTGGGGTCGAGAGGGATGGAGGCTAATCCTAAAGCAAGTTGGAGGAAAAAAAAAAAAAAAAAAAAAAAAACCAGAGGTGGGAGAGGAGGGGGAAAAAGCAGCAGCAGCAGCAGCCTGACGGGCTGGCGGACGGGCTCCCCTCGCCCTGGATCAAAGATAGAACTTGAAACAGGAGGACGTTTTTCCTAGAAATCCGTTGGAATCCTCATTTTCTACTTTTAACTCAAGTTCCCCCAAGTGATTTTTCCCTCTCCCCTGCAGAGTCGTGGGCCCCCCCCCTTTTCCAGTCCCCATTCTAGAACTTTCCTGAAGTAGAAACCTATTTCTTTGTGGGGGGGGAGGAGGGGTTCCCCATTTCATGTCTTCACATAATGAATGCTTGATTCACCCCTCCCTCCCTCCCTCCAACCCCCCAGGATGGATAAAGGAAGCAGAAATACAGTAACTGGAGAAAATGAGAATAAAGTATGCTGCCTCTCTCAGTTTAATACAGTTTTAACTAATGGATTTTTTTGTTTTGTTTTGTTTTAAGAGAAGAATAATGGGGAAACACGGATCTTTTATTTTAGGAAACTGTTATGGTAAGATGTATGTCAGACTTGACAAATGGAACTAAAGCTCTTCGCTGCTTCTTGTCCTTGTCTTAAACAGGAATTAAGTTAAACACAGTGCTGAATGTTAATTACATGTTTACTGGCTAATGGAAATTACAAATGGTTTTGCCACCTCAAACAATGATGAAAACTCTGAAGACACTGTAATTATATACTTTGAGGGAAATAACTCAGAATATTGATCATAAGAAGTGTAAATCTTTTTCTAACTATTCATTAATACCATAAATATGGGCTACAGAAGTTTTTCCTTGCGGTTTGTCTCATCAGCTACACCGATGACGGTGAGGCCCCTCCCGCTGGTATAACCGGGGGCTGTCCCCCTGCCTTTTCATCCCCCCCCCCCTTTAACCCCAGCAGAAGGTCGAGGGATAGTTGAACAGGGGGGTTGGGCTCAGGGCAGGTGAAGGTGATCACGGCCCAGCCTCTGCCCTCCGCTCCCCTGCGCTCCTCGCCTCTCTCCTCCCTCCCCCCTCCCTTCCCTGCCAGGTCTGATGGATGACCCCTTTCCCCAGCCTGGACGCCTGTGGGATAACCTGGCCTTCGGGCTCCTGATGGAGGACCACTCAGAGCACCCCAGAGACGCAGCCCTGACAACTTCAGTTCCCTCCTTCGGAGGCGGCTAGGGCAGTCTATTGCAAAAAGAAGGCAAAAGACGTTGAGGGTAGAGGTGGTTCCTGGGTAAGGTGGCTCCTGCCACATAGCCAGAGAGGGTTTCCCTGGGTTCGGGCGCAGAGACCTATTTTGGGTGTTGTTTTCTTTTAACTTCGGCCTGAGCGGCACCGCTCCGATCCTGGGGGTCAAAGGTGAGGGCTGCCCTAACCCTAAAAGGCCGGTCTGGCCTGGCCCGAAGGCCGAGGCGGGGAGGAGCCGGCTGGTCAGGCGCGCTGCCTGGCGCGACCCAGGGGCTGCCTCTGAACCCGGCGCTGGGGGGCCCCGGCGCGGAGAGCGGGTTTTAAGTGAAATATTGAGGATTTTTCAAAAGTGCCCTAGGCTTGTGGGACTGGAGTCTTCTTTTTCCCTGAGAATTCCCAAGGCGCTGGGCTTTGTCTTGGAAGGAATGGAGTTTCTGAATGGTGTGAAAGGGACAGAGAGGGTCGCTTCAAATCGATTTTACTTGTCTTTTCTGTCTTTTCGGATCAACGACCTTCAATGGCCACAGAGGTGCTCTTTCAACCAAAAACTTGTGCTACATTTTCTGCCTGTATTGGTGCTAAATACAATGAGCACCGGGCAGATTTTTTTTTTTCTTTGCTCTCCAAAGCAAGAAAGCACCCTAATTAAATTGTTTTATATGGACAGTCAAGGCGGACCAATTAAGTATGCATTAGTATAAAGATATAGTCTGCAGATAAGGCGGCTTAGAAAATCACGCATAAAACAAAGGAGACGGAGGTGGGCCCTGCGAGGTCGCTCACCTTCCTCGCCGGGGCCCCGGGGGACCTGGCAGAGGCCCGGGCCCCAGGTGACAGGGGAGCAGGCCCGCTAACAGGTGGGCGACAGTGTCGGAGAGCTCAGGCCCGTGCCTCGGGTGGGTGAGGAGCGGTGGAGCCCAGGGGGTAGTGTCGCTCATGTCCTCCTGCTGGGACAACGTGGTCGAGCCAGGTGGCCGTGTCCTTGGGAGGTGGCCAGTGCCTGCCACCCCGCTCTGGGTCCGGCCCTTTGCCGAGTGTCCAGGTGCGGGGCGAGGCCCCGCTGTGAGGGGAGACCGTGACGGCCAGGCAAGCACGGACACTGTCACCGTCGCGGTCGCAGCCCCCCTGGCAGCAAAGATCAGGGGAGGCGGCCTCCTCCCAACACCTCCCAACCGAGCGCTTTTTCCGCTTCTAAGGAAACGGGAGCTTCTCGGCGAGGGCAGTGAAGTTGTCACCCGACGCCACCCTGCCGCAAGGGCGTCGAGGCCCAGGCGCAGAAACGGGGGCCTGAGCCGAGGGCCGGAGGGGGAAAGGCAGCCGGGAGCGCGGCTCCGGCTTCGGCGAAGGCAGCCGGGGCTTCTCCACCCCCTCTCGGCGCTCCGAGGTGTGGGCGGGCGGACTGCAGCTGGCCCGAAGGCGGCGACCCCCGGAGCAGGGGCCTGGGCCTCCCCGCGTCGCGGCGCAGGGCTGTGATAGGTGGTCCCCGGGCCTCGGGGGCGCGAGCGCAGCGCGCTGCCGCACCAAGGGCGCGCGGGGCGCACGGGGCGCCCTGGGTCGGGGGCTGCCGGGGAGCGGGTGGGGGGCGCAGGGGCGAGAATTAGAGCCCCGAGAGGTGGCTGAATGGCAGAAGTAAAAAGGTTGAAAAGCCAATTTTCCAGGCGCGCCTTCGCCCCCCTCGGCTGGTCGCGGAGGCCGTAAATCAGCCGCCAGCGGCCAGGGCGGGAGGAGCCCCCTCTGCGGGCCCCGCGCACCTCCCGGTGGGCCCCGAATCGATCGGAAGCCTAGCCGAGGATGTCACCGCACTAAATATTTACTGATCACACACAAATAGCCAGGGCTCGAACGATTTTCCTCCGTGCGGAGCGCGCAGAGAGAAGGGTAAATCATTTTATTAGTGTGGATAAAGCCCAGAGCACACTCCGGGCTGGAGTGTTTTAAGATGTGTCTTCAACGGGATGAAAAGAGTTAGGGAAATCGATACCGAGTGATTAGAAGCCCCCGGGGTGAGGAAGGGGGCCGGGGCTTTCAGGGATTTGGCGAGGCCGAGAGGGAGGCGACCCGATCGCCGCCAGCGCGCTCGGGGGGCGCAAGGCCCGCGAACCTCCCCCCTCGACGGGGCGCGGCGAGCGGCCGCGCGGGCCGCGGCGGGGCCGAAGGCTCGGGAGCCACGGGCTGCACGCTGCGAGTGACAGTGGCCAGGTGGCCACGGGAGTGAGTCGCAGGCCCAGCGCGGGGACACAGGCAGGTTCCCCCACCGCACGGTCCCTCCGGGCCGCCTCTCGGAGGACAGGTGTGGCCCAAACGAGGTGCATTTTTCCCCGGGCCGCGCGGGCCGCAGCATCCCGAACTTTCTCCTTTATACGTCTCTGTGTCCCACCTCGTCGATGTCGCTAAAGAGGATGCAGCGGCCCAGCCGGGGGAGCTGCTTCTGCCTCCCACCCACCCAGGGTCCAGAGCAGCGGCCGCCGGGTGGCGGAACCCGCTGGGGACCGCAGGGCGAGTGGCTTCCAGGTTCGGGGCTCCTGGGCAGGTGGGAGGAAGTCTGAGGCCGAGGAAGAAGGCAGGGGCAGTGTGACACACACAGCGACGAAGCCCTCGGGACGTCTCTGTGCTCTCCAGAAAACCAGCTTTTGGGGGGGATCAGAGCTATCCCCCAGCGCTGGCACTCGGCCTGGGGCCCCAAGGCTGGGCGCAGGAGCCCGAAAAGGCTGCAGGGGTTGCCGAAGTTAAGCAAGCCTTTGGGGGGAGGTAGCTGGAAGGGAGAGGATCAGCTTCTCCCAAACTCAAGCATTGAAGTCCTGGGGAGAAACTGGCTTGGCATTTCTGGGAGCCTGAGTGTGGCTCGCTACTGTGGACACACCTTGGGGTTCGAGACAGCCGCAAAGAACCGAGAAGGTACTAATTCAGGGGAGGAAAGAGGGGCAGAAAAGGGAGCCTGTTTTTCGTTTCTTCTTCCTTTTCCCGCTCCTGAGTTTTTTTTTTTCTTTTTTTTTTCAAAAAATCTGCTCTTCTTGGAGAAACTGATAGCTTATTTATTTATTTATTCATTTATTTATGTCCCCACTCCCCCAATTGCTCAATTTTCTTGGCAGCCGAAGGAATTCAGTTCAGACTGCCCTGCTTGGCTCCTTGGTGCAACAGGAAATATAAACTGCAGATCCAATTAATCGTTTTCCAGAAGGGAGGATTTTTTTTTTTTCTTTAAATATGAATCCCAATGGATGGGAGCGATATGTTCAGGTGTGAGGCGATTGATGTCTGGAATTCCAGCCTCGGTAATCTTTTAATTCCTGTGATAGACGCTGGAGCATCGCTGACCTGGAGGCTGTCAGGAGCCGGGTCTCCATTAACCCTTGCTGGTCTTGGCCCGGGAAGGTTAACTACACTAATATACCAAAGGGGCTGGAGCCGGGAGGGGTGGGGGAAGGAAGAAGGAAAGCAGGAAGGAAGGAAGGGAGGCTGGGAGGGAGGAAAATTCACTGTGGTGGCAAGGATTTGAGAGTTCTCTGCCCTGCTCTGGTCCT